AGCACAGATCCTGCTGTTTGTGATCATGAGATATCACAGGAATCCTGACTCATTAGTTAGTGCATGCAAATAAATATGCCATGTTTTGCAGACATATACCAGGAAGAGAGGGCTGGGACCTTTAGATCGCATCTCATAGTCACCAAGACTTGCACTCGGGCCTGCTTAAGTGATCGTTATTAAAAACTATTTTGAGTGCCTCCTTTAACCACTTTTTAACTACTCAGGTTTTTAAAGAATGAAACTACGGAACCATCACATGTGGCTGGTTTTTATCTCTTTACATGGTTTGTTGACAGTTTGAAAAATGCAGAATAGGATCCGGTTCATTTTTTTTAGTCTGAAAAAAATATAATCCATTATAATTATTTAAGGTAAAATTTGATCTTTGAATATGTTCCTAAATATTTCTATATGTAGTGGATACAAGGATACATGAGCCAGTGTTCAGAAGAGGGAGCATAGTTGGTGGAGGCTGACTTAATAAAGTTTGGATCAAGTGGGACTTTTATTTCAAACACAGCTTTTATCTCTGGTTTGACAACTGATGTCTCTGGTTGGTTGTCGTCATGGTGATAACAGGACACGTAAACTGAGGGGACCAAGAGGAGGCTGACCTGGAATAAAAGCCAGGGAGTATGATGGACAGCAGGGCTCACGGCGGGTAGGTTGCTGCTGCGCTCTCCGCGCTGCAGCTGAAGCTCCTCTTCATTTGTGGCCAAATGTGACAAGTTGGTGTGAACTTCGAGCGACTCTGATGCCTCCTCTGTGAGCTAACTGGACCGGATCTGCTTTGCGCACTCGTTCCTCGGTCTGGATGATGGAGTTGGAGGTGGAGAACTGCAGGCAGCGTGTTTTCCAGCTGTCGCTCCTCCTGCTTTGCTTCTTGACTCTCCGCAGCTCGGCCATCGAGACTGGTAAGACTTTAACTAGTGGACAGAGGGACTGGGAGCACTCCTCTCCCTCTGATAGATGAGCTTTGGATGAAAGGGACGCACTTGTAAGTGTGCGCATCGTTTTCTGACTGCGTAACGCTCGGATGAAGTCCTGTTAAAGTTTGAGGTGTGAGCAGCAGTGCGTGGTGCTGCTTTATGGCGGTAGTCTGACAGCAGCAGCTATGTTTGCCTTTCATGTCTATTCATAATCTGAGAAAACCCACAAAAATACATCAATACAGTTGCATTAATATTTTAATATAACGTTTTGCCATTTGGCACACTGTACAATCTGTATGTTGAGATAATACGGAAATATCATTGCAGTCTTATTCTTATATCACCCACACAGAGACATAATAGAGGTACAATTGTATGGACAAATAAAAGAAAAGTAGTAGCAGGAGGGACTACATCCCTGTTTATGCAAGAAAAATAGACCTCAGGACGCATGTTCCTTTCATACATTTGTGGCTTCTTCGATCGGAGTTTTATTTATTTATTTATTTATTTATTTTTAATTATTATTTTGACTATAACAACTTACACACAGTGGAAACTTAACACTGAGGACAATATTGCACCATAGCTTCCACTGGACAATTAATTTCTATAAAGAAAAAAAAAAGTTTACTTGTTGATTAAATACCAAGCCTGTATGTTTAATAAAGTTGCATTACTGTTGTGTGATAATGTGGTTGAGATGGAGGTTGATTTGAAAAGTTTGCGGAGAAAGGCAGAGTGATGGAAGCCTGGTGTCTGCTTTGATGAGCACACCTTGACACCCATGTCCAGAATCTGTACATAGCTACAATATTTAAATTTCATACTGAAATGAACAGTGACCACAGGACTCTGAGAAACACGTGGTTTGAAAAAACAGTGACACTTGCAAAACTTCTGGTTTAGCAAATATATGTATATAGTGATATACATGCCTCTTAAACCAACTCCCCTTTACCTTTATTATTATTTTATTGGTATGGGTAAAGGAACCTGTTTTTTTTTTGTTTTTTTTTTTTTGATGGGGGGGGTGGACCAAATTGTTCTAAATGCCGAACATGTACAATAATAAAGTTGAGCATTGTGACAAAATATGCAGTGAAATTTTAGATGTTTTCCAACTATCAGAGAGCTTCTACAAGGTTTTTATAATGGAACACAATGTGTGGTTTTTTGGAATGATATAACAATACACAATAATGTCATTATGACATTACATGGTGATAGCCATTACGTAGTTATGGACACTTTGTTCTTACATGTTTTCTGTTGTCTTTATATGATTAGTTTTGTGTAACGTAGAAAGTGTAAAGTGATATAATGGAACCCTTCACTGAGATGCCAGTATTAGGATGACACAAGCATTGACAGTGGGATTGGTGCCCTTTTCCACACAATGCTGTCTCAGAGACATTTCTCACTACAGTGTGTCACCTAGAACCTTGACCCTCTGGATTTGTTTACTGAAATTGACTCCATTTACAATGATTGGGTTTAAAAGGAGTAGAACTTTCAGCATGTAAAATTCTTTACAGAGGACTATGCCTCCGGTCACACATGTTTTGGATGGTGTTCCCTCAAGGTTTTGTATTTACTTGCTCAGTGTGGAGGGGATGAGCCGTTTCCCACCAACAGGGGCTCCCGGGCTTTGAGACATTCCTGGAGGTCAGTGCAGGCGGATCTAGTTGTCTCCCAGGGAAACGGAGCTAATAAACTCCAGGGTTGGTCATAAATTTTCTCATTATTTGGCCTGCGGCCCAGAGGCAAGGGGCAGTGGGTGGCTGGGTGGGGGCTGCTGGAGCCGGATCTGCCCAACCATCTGTCCTGGTCGTGCCTGTGGATGAGCTGTGGGCTGCTTCTGAAACTTCCACCAAACGGACCATATGGTTGACTCAGCGGACCAGGTTTACACTGACTAAAGCCAAAATACTTTGTAGTTTCATCTGTAACATCAACTGTATGTTTCACCTAGCTGTCCTCTTTACCAACATGCTTAAAGGTCTGTGAAGATTCTTGGTCACACAGTTGCCTGTTCTTTAAATATCCACACTTCAATGCTGAAAGTGCTGTCTGAAAGGATCCTGTTTATTTTTATCCACTTAATTTGGTTCTTTGAAACAGTTTGAGAAGTGATTAGTTACCTCTGGATGAAGATATCTAGATCAACAGTGAATTATAAAAAATGTAAAAAATCTCAACAGTGTACTGAAAACATATGCAGCAATGTAGATATTCAGCAAAAGTGAATATACCGCAGACCACTGACACACAAGCTAGAAAACCTGTGATCATTGCAGATAAAGTGAGTATACAGGATTTTCAATCAGCCTAATTGCATTAACATTGTTATAAAATGACCCATAAACACCATCCATCCATCCATTATCTATATACCCCTTAATCCTCACTAGGGCTGGAGTCTATCCCAGCTGACTCGGGGTGAAGGCAGGGGACACCCTGAATAGGTCGTCAGTCCATCGCAGGGCTCCATAAACATCACAACCTTCTAAATGTTGCAAGTTTCATAAGACCAAGAACCACTGTGTGAACATAACAACTGAAGTTGAATTCTTGTATAATTAAAATTTACAGAGAAAACAAACATCAACAGGTTGCATTTGTAGGTTGTACTGGTACCACTGTACAGTATACAGCCCATGGGTTATAGCATCATTTTGCTGTATGAATAAGCTACCAACAGAAATACTAGAACTTAAAGTACTGGTACAGTGGTACTGAAATCATCTATATGAGGAACAAGGGAGTGACAACCAGGCATTTTAGAGGAAAGGAGAAATAAAGGAGTGTTTTTCTGAATACTGGGTACCTACAGGGTCCAGTCCTGGGAAACAAAAGAGAAGTTTGGGAAAAATGCTATCAGCCCTTTTTTTTCTTCAATATACAATTATTAAATACTTTAAAGTGAGAGAACTACCCACTAATGGCATTTTCACTGTGTGAAACGTGGAGTTATAGGTTATTCTGTGGTTGTTGCTGAGGATTCAGTCTTGGTGTTCTCTTTTTGTCAGTGAATGTGGTGGACTTTTGTGGCCAGACGATCCGGGGTGACGGCATGATTGTCAACTCACACCAGGAATCGAAGAAGTACTACTTTGTGACTATGGGGACCGACTGCCACCTCACCATGCAGGCCAGCTCTCTGAAAGACAAGGTCCAATTCCACTTTCGCTTCTTCCTGGTCTATAGCTTGCTTAGGGTGGCCCCCCTGAGTCCTGCCCCTCTCTTCCCAGAGTCCCCTCGTGGCTCCGCCCCTCTTAACCCCAGACTAGAACCTACCTCTGGTGAGACGCTGGGGGACCCATGTCACGCTGGCTCATACGTTCAGTTTTATGATGGTCGGGATAAGAGCTCGCCTCCCCTTGGACCTCCTCTTTGTGGGAAGAGCCCGCCCCGGCCAGTGCTGTCCACAGGAAACTACCTGACTCTAAGGCTGGTGACCAGAGGCACTCAGCCCAGGGTGGACTTTGTGGGGGACTTTACTTCGTTCAGACTGGGTAAGTCTGACCGAGTGAGTTCTGACATAGGCAAACATAGCTAGGGTTAGGTTAGTCAGTGTTGAAAGAAACTCTTACTAACTGTTTGCCAGGTAAGAGGACACTAACAGCAGTCTCCTGTCTTAAATAACACACTGTTTCTACTCAACTTCGAGTCTCCTTCCTCCTCAGATAATCGGATTAGAAACAAGACAATTCTGTTTTACTTTTACACTTTGGAGAAGGAAGGCAAGCCTTAAAAAAAACTGCAGTGATGACAACAGAAACTACATCATATACTGATTTTAACATTTCATTTTGCATGATTAAAATAGCACATTGAGTCCAAGGTAAAAAAAAAAAAAAAAAACAGTTCACACTGAACATAAACTTAAGGTTATACTTACATTGCACTTTTAATTGGGATGCAACCTTTTAACCATGATTAAAAAGGGGGGCAAAGTTTACAGGCATAGCAGCAATACAACCAAATATGGTTCAAGTTGTTAACAAGTTTCAATTCATGTGAAAATAAACTTGACTGATAAAACTGGAACTACTCAGTCAGCAGTTTTAAGTGTTATATGTTTCACAATTATTGGAATTTACATGATTCTTTTAATTACATTTCCCTCTACTGTATATTATTATTATTATTATTATTATTATTATTATTATTATTATTATTATTATTATTATTATTATTATTATAAATCATGTGTAAATGGGGCAGTATTGGGCAATCAACATATTACAAAACTGAAAGACAAGTTTAAGGTGTACTCATGCACTAATGAAGAATATTCAAAGAAATCTCAAGCAATAATCTCAATCTCAATAATCTCAAGTTTAGATATCTGACTCAAGCCTTTTTGTTGTATACTGTCTGATTGAGTGCCATGCGTCTCTTCAGGTTTTAACCAATCAGAGTGCAGCAATGAGCCCTACTTCACCTGCAGGAATGGGAAATGCATTCCTCTAAGTCTGGTCTGTGATGACAAAGGCATTGACAATTGTGGCGATGGAAGCGACCTGGAGGAAAACCTTACCACAGGGTGCAAAGGTCAGTTGGATGAAGGACTAACAGTACCATGTTGTGATCCTGATACAGTATCAAGCAGGCCTTCCAAATCCTCCATTTTTGGGAGGAAATCTAAGGATTTTAGAATACTATAACAAGTGTATGAAATGTATCTTGAAGTATCACAACAAAATTGAGGTTCATACCATTTAAAAGTTGACCCATGTCTTTCCCTTATCAGCAGGTCAGCTTTTGCCTCCTGAACCTCCGCCACCAATGGCAACCCCACCCCCAACCTTTATGAATCCACCCACAATGCCGATTCCAACTCACATGAACTGTGCCGTGCCAGACAGCGCTCCTAGTCATGAGTCAGTAACAGGTGAGTGAGCAATGTGACATTATTAGTATTTATTATTTACCTTGCAAAAACACTTTGTTGTCTAAACCAGAATAACTCACAGTGTACTGCACTGTGCCCTACAATCAGTCGGTTGGTTGGCAAACAATTTAATAAAGTGTCCTTTTGGATGTAATGACCTAATAGTAGGGCATAGAACTAATAGTGGTGACCACTGAGTTTCAATTTTACCAAAAGACTTGTAAACCAGTAAATGATGATGAATTCTCAAGGCAGAGAGCAGCCTTTTGATTGATCTGTCTTTATTAACTTGTCGGTAGTGCAAACAGTCTACATGTGTCCAGGCCAACCTGTCAGCTTCTGACTAGTTTTTACACCGGGCCAAGCCTGGCCTAAGAAACAGCTTTTCTTCTGTTCAACTGAGAGATGGTCTTTATGTTTATTTATCTTTCTGTTTTTTTATTTAGGTGTATAAGAATAGACTGTTAGCTTTTTCTGTATCTCTGCACAGGATACATATTCAATTGAAGCTGGTGTTTTACTGACTGTGTGAAAAACTGCATTTTTACTCGTACGTACATAAATTCTGGTTTGTTCATCCAGAGTTGTTGTATATTAAGCATATGTTCTTGATTTTACTAGACATCAGACATTATACATCTCTTTTGGGTAGGCTCACTGAGCCAGCCTATTCCTCAGTATGTAATGTTTGGGCTGCACCACACTATGAATCTGCTATACAGGGAAAAACACTGTGTCTTGTTTGTGTGTCTTTAAACTAATCACTGTCATCTTAGGTGGAGCTAAACAAAGGGCACGGCTTTTGTGTTCCCTAAAAATAGTGATGAGTGGAATTGTTATAATGCAATATTTGTATGCAGGGAGATGAGCACTGTCCCTAAAATGGATAATCCAGTTATTCTTCTGGTGGTGGCGGCCACGAGTGCCAACGTTAAGGCTGAGTATCGTAGGAACATTTTGGACAAAAATGCATAATATTCAATTAAACTGCTGCAGTCAATATATTTCGTAATGGAGGCAGAGTAAATTTCAGTGAAGCTGTTGTATTAAGGGCACTTCTTTGTCAGGCCCCCCACCTCCACCAATAAACTCTTTTGTATTTAATCTTGGCCTGCTGTGTTTTCTGTCTGCATTTGGGTCTCTGTCTTCCTGTGACAGTTTTGTGAACCTTGATCTGCAAATTCAGCTTGTTGTTGGCCCTCTGCTGATTTTTACGTTACTGACATGAATTGAATTGAATGACAGTTTTATTATGTCCTCTTATGAGACACTAACCAGTACCGAGAGCTAAAATAATTCTGATTCATCAAATAGGCTAATTTAGCTCGGTCAAGACCTTATAATATTATAACGAGAAATGCATCAATTATTGATTAAGCAGGAGGAAAAACTCCTTTAAAACAGAAGGAAGCCTTCAACATGGTTGGATGGCGGTCTGCCTCGACCAGTTGGGTTGAGGGGAGAGCAGAGACCGAAAAGACAAACTGATAAAAGATCAACTGAGCGAGATAGTGAGGCCAGTAACCACAGATCAGAAACATGCAGCTCCAGAGCACAAGATATCTCTGTACATAGATACAGGGAAGACATAGCAAAAATTAAGGGGGAGAGAAGACACAAAGGTAATCACATGCAATGGTGCCATATAAATGTATGGCGAGTAGAGGTGAGGTGCTCAGTGCATCATTGGTAGTCCTCCATCAGTCTAGGCCTGTAGCACCCAACTAAGAGATGATTCTGGGTCACCTGAACCAGTCTTAACTTTATGAAAAAGGAAAGTTTTAGGTGAGGGTGTCAGTCTCCCAAGTCCACTCTGAGAGCGGTTTCACAGGTGTACTGTATGAGTGTTTCCCACTGTTGCTAGTATAATTAAATATGGCTGTTCAGTAAAATAAAAAGAGTATTTTATAGCATTTTGCCTCTCTTATTTCCAGACTCTCCTGCTTCCTTGTCCCTGTTAATTCTCTACATCATCCTGGGCGTAGTGGTGGGAGGCACAGTGCTCTGCTGGTGCTGCTGGTCACCTGGCTGGTTTCTGTGGCGCGTCAGCATCTGTCGCTTCTTACCCTGCTGCAACTCGACCTGTGCTTCCTGCCAGCTCTGCGCTCACAGCTGCACCAACAATCAGGAGCACCGACTGGCAAAAGTCACCCCACACACACCGGTCAATGGGACACCAAGGGGCACAGCTGCCACCACCAACAGTGCCGAAGAAAATGTTACCACAGCAGCTGTGTAGCGCACAGGGACCGTCCACCTGATCAGTTTTGAAACACCGAAACATGGGTACAATATGCTAATGCTGAATTGTGACCAGTGATGGACATGACCAAGAATCTTTATAGTGAAGGTTGGACTGATGTGGTCTAGAATGAAATGTTGACATCTAAATATAGAGGTCTTGTTTATGGATAAACTGTGTGTTGTGTGCTTTAAATGCAACAATGCTGGTGAGACTGTTGTTTATGTTGCTACGAGAAGGTTCAGCAGGGTATAGTTTGATTATGGATTGTATCAAAGCATACGTTTATCTGTAAGGGTTCTTAGCATAACTTTAAAACATTTTTGTTAACAGCACACAATTCACTTGTTATGAAATTGTCTTACATGTTATAATGGTAGAATAATCTGTTTAAGAGGCTGCCTATTAAGTTTGACAACTTTGTCAGTTTTCAGACAATGATCATTGTAAAGTTGTTCGTGTAAGCAGTTTTCAGTCCTGTACTTGTTTGTTACTGATAAACAAGCTGTTTTCACTATGCCTTAGAAGTCAACATTTAGTTGTGCAGTGAAACTACACTTCCAGTCCACAGCGTTGACCAAAAGTATGCCCTGGACACATGCAGAGAAAAAAGCCCCAGAGTCACCCACCTGGTGACAACAGCTGCTCTCCCTTGGAGACTTTTTACTCTCTTCCCAGCAGTCCACTGTTGTTCCTCATAACAGGCAGTGTGACGTGTGGACAATGGAGCACAAAGTTATCTAGTGTCTGGAAGTCAGTCTTTCGGTCAAATTTAAGGAAATTAATTATGAATTTCTAACATGCTATAGTGTTTACACAATAAATGCCTGACAATTCACAACAAAAAATCTTGCGAATTAAAAAATTCAAATCAGTCAAGCTTTGTCAGGTCAAGTCCATAAAACTAGCTGTGGTGGGAATAAAGCTAAACAATAAAATGGTGACAATTTCAAATTAAAGTAAATTAAGTACAATTAACATATGTTTCAATTGAAAATAATGTGAATTATTTTACACACAAAAAAAAAAACATTTGACAAGCATTTGCCATTTTCTCCTTTACCATCTAATGAAGTGCTGAAACCAGAAAAGACTGTCATTTCCTGAACTGTCTACATCATGGCTGTATGTCAGTCACGTATTTCATTAGCGTGTTGCGTTTGTGTGGTAGTGGACTGACATGTGACTCTATAAAGAAGATTTTGTTGGGTAAATTAGTTCACTTTGTTCCATCGTGTAGCTGTTGAATCACATCTGTGTTTTTTTGTTTTTTTTTTAAACATGCTGGTGAAGTAAAAGGCTTGTTTCGTAGCCACTTTTGCAGCACTGCCCAAGCTATGGCAATGCTGGCTATCTGTCCAGCCTGGAATTTCTCGGGACCATTTCATATACTGCCAATGAAATGTGGTTTTCAGTGAATTTTCTCTCAGAATACATAATGGCTTTATGGTACACACATTCATATGTCTGTGTAGATACTCAGTCATCCGGGTCCTGCTCTTCGTTATGAGAACTGAAGAAGCCTGTTTGATAAAAGGGGAAATACATTAAAGAACCAAAAGGAGACGTTCAGTTGCTTTTTACTGAAGCAGTTAGGAGCATGCACACGTATGTTCCTGTCAGGGTGAACTGTGATTTTTATTTTTTTTATTTTAATGTGGTGCCATAATCAGGCCAAATTTTACATTTTTCCAATATGTTTACGATCAGAGAACTAACCACATACCCATCAGCCTTAACTGTACTCAAGCAGCATACTTGTGAGTATGATACCTGTCAAACCAACCCTGTCTACACAAAATCCCATTCCTCTACAATTAAACTACGTTCTCAAATAAGTTTACAAGTAACTTTATATATATTTGTGACTTGTGACATGGTGGCAATGTCGACCAGTTTGATGTCCAAGTTAGGTGGCAGGAGGCAGGGTTGAAGGCATAAACCGGCCTTCCACCCAGAAGACCACAGTTTCTATCCCATGATGGTAAAGAGGCCAAGAGAGGCAAGATGGCTTTCTGGTTCGGTTTAGGTACTAAAACTGTATGCTTAGGTTTAGGAAAATATTACAGTTTGTGAGGCACCTTTACATGTTAGAGGTTAAGGTTAGGCACAGAAAGGACTTGATTATTGATTGGAAACATATTGTGATTTGGGTTCAAATATGACCCTTTCATTGCAGGTTTAAAATGTCTCCTCCATTTTCTGGGTTGCCAGGGTGACGAGTGCTGACGCATCTAAAATTTGGTTGGTTGACTGAGAGGAAGTGACATTAAAATTCAATATGGCAAAGATACGCTGATTACAACCATATTTGTGATACCTTACAAACAAACGTAATCTAGCAGAAAATATGTTTTCCTCAAAACGTAATTAGAATAGTTAGATAATAAGATTGAGAATTTCATTCCACGTGTGTAAGTGTGAACACTATACCCTTCGTGACTGCTGAAACATGTCATTCTAAAACAATGGCCATTCATCTGCACCTGCAGCATCACAGCTGTCACTTCTCTGAAAACCCTCTGTAACATATTTAAGAGCAAAGTTCTGGGGATTTTTTTCCCCATTCATGCACAAAAGTGTTCCAACAGTGATGCTTAGTGATAAGACCTTCAAGATATTTCAGTTCAACAACTTGAGATTAGGGCACTGTGCAGGTTTTTCCACTGTAAACTTGGAAAAGTCTGGCTTTGTGCACAGCAGCATGGTCATGTTGAAACAGGAAAGCACCAAACAGTAACTCACCTTGTTGGAAGCACACTCAAATATTGTCTCATATGATGTTGTGTAAGGCTTGAGTATGGGACATTTACACATAAAAGAACCATCAATCCACCCAAACAAATCCAAACAATGGTGATTAAGCCTATTAGTGCCTTGTAAGTTTGTCTGTATTTCTCAGAACAGTCGTGACTCGATAATTCAACGCTAAAATTGTTAAAACACTACACATCGCTGGATTTCACACCTAATTGACCGGTGCGCTTGTGCATGGGCCTGTCGGTTGACATCAAAAGTACATACATTCAGACAGAAGGCTAAAGTGACCCAAATTCCCCCCCCCCAACTATGCAACCTGTATCTGGCCTTTTTATGATAGTCTGAACAACATAGATCTGATTTTTTCAAATGCGACCAAGGCCACTTGGATATGTGGTCCTAAATCCAATAGGTATCTGATCTTTTGCTATGCGAGGATGGGGAGGGGGCGTTCTTCAACGTGGTGCGCTCCGATGTGGTGGAAGTGGCTGGAACGCACAAGCAGTATTTGGCTACTGATGCCAGTTTAGGATAGCGGTTACACTTCTGTTTCCACCATTGGTGGTGGCAGGGGAGTGGCAGATACGCTCCACCGTTACCATCCATGTTTACTTCTGCAAACACTGAGCACGCTCGCTGCGTGTGACATCGTCATGTCTTCTTCTGTGCATGTGGGACATTTTTGGATCGTATGAAGTTCACACAGCAGATCACATACAAGTCGCATTTAATTTGAGATTTGAACGACCTCGCAAAAAAAATTGTCCTGCAGTCTGAACGTAGCCAATGTCAGATTGTTAAGTTCGATAATACGCCATTATCCTTATTTGTGACATAAAATGTCATGTCGGAGTAGGAATCCAAGGCTGTCGGTATGTTAAGGCTATTTTTTATGGATTCTGTTCCTTTTTCCTAAAAACCTGTCTGATAGCAAGGTTTTTGGATTGTTAAGGGTCAGAATGTCAAGTCGTGACTGTATATTGAAGTTTTAAAATCTGGCGTCTGTGGCAGCATTCCTGCACTGGTGCACCATTAGCAAGATGACCTACATCAACCAGCGATGACTGGTTTGCCAGAGCTAAAGAAGGGAAAAACTGGGCTGGAAGTCAAGCCAGAGTAAGCTACAGCAAAGTAGTGAACAGAGGAAAAGCTGGGAAGCTTCCAAGTAAAGTTTCTGACACTCCAGATGAAAAAAAATGGGACTGAGCCAAAACCAGAAAACAACGTCCCAGACCAAAAGTACACATATGTACTGTGGAGATGGGTGTCTACAAATGTGTAGTTTAATGATTTCTTTATGTGAATCTAGTCTTGCATAGCCAGACCATTCTCCAGTGCTGACACAACACTGTGTAGAATGATCTGGCTGCACTTCATAACCATTCTGCTATTGGGGAAAAAAATGTGTATGTTTTTTAAACCAATCCCAGTCGTATTGGGTGATGCTACTAAGTTAGTGATGGGAGACACTGTTTTGGTGAAACATTTGTTTGCAGGGAAACAAGCGCTGTCATTAAAATACGTAATTAGTTGAAAAAAAAACTAACTGCATTACTGCATGATCCAAAATTTGACATTTTCAGTGTTCAGAGGTTGTTTTTGTGGTAAAGGAGATTTTCAAAACAGTGGCATATAGATGCATGTGGCCACTGGCAAGCTAACACAGTCTGCAGTCTACATCCGGTGAGTCAGACTAAAGTGAATCATACAGTTGTTTGCACAGAGAAAAGGAAATGAGTGTGTGAACTCATTAAATGAAACGTTTTTGCAGTGAGGTAAATCAGGGGGTTGATGTCTTTCTAGCAGAATCCTCTGTTCTTTCCCAACCTTTATGGACAGGAAAGAGTACAGTGAAGTCAATCCCCCTCTGTTCTTCTTCTTTTACCCAGATTGATGCTCCATGTGAGGGGTTCATGTGTCCACCAGGCAAACTTTCTTTGTGGCATCCTGTAGATGGAGTAGCTCCATAACCTTTCCTCACTCTGCCACACTGTGTGTTGTGTAACAACATTACACAGAGCCCCCTGCACTGTCTTTTTAGTGATTTTGACTTGTGTCTTGGGTAAGGCATAAGGCCATATGCCTAAACAAACACTATGTTTCTGACCCTCAGGTTGCCAGGCTGCAGCATACACAAGTATGTAGACTCCTTTATCCTTCTTGCGTTCTGCTGAGACTGTACAGGAACTCACATACATCTGTATGCCCGTCAGACAACACACACACATACATATATAGACTCAATGCACGAACACTCAGACATGCATGTGCGTCACTCTGTAGAAAAGGTCAGTACTCCAACTGGATGTTGGTGCCAAAAAAACAGTTTACACTTTGAACTGTAAGTTTATATTTATTGGATATTTAACTGTTTCCACAAATCATTTCAATGCTGAGACAGGTTCTGTGTTTGAAACCTCCTAACATACAGCTCTCCTCTTTGCTTCCCTTTTAGCAGTTTTAAGGTTGTTAGTTTTTATCAACAGTGGATCAAATGTGTCAAGTAAAAAAGGTCACTCTTGTGTGGTCATGGATCAACCACCACTCTGAAGGCCAGTTTATGCTACCTGCTCAGTAGTAAACAGCACACAGGACAGTTAGGGAAGAGCTCCTGAACATAGTGGAGCATTTAGCAGCTGAAGAGACTCACAGCTCCCTCAAGGGATTTAAAATGCTATAGAGCTAAAACTGGATTCAATATTTGACCTACACTCATCACAAATACAACTCCAAATGATTGCTGAGTTTGCTGGATGTGTTAATAAGCTGATCAGCCTTAAAAGTGGTCACTTTTATTTATAGATATATGTTTACATTCTGCATCTGCTCATGATCTATTCTGAACCATTATCACTTTACATCTGAAATCCATTATGTTTTCAAATATTTAAGCTACAAAGCCACAAAAAAAGGTTTTAAATTCTGAAAAGCAACTGGCTACTCTGTTGTCTTTATTAAACTTCTCACTTCTTACAGACTGATTAAGAGTGTGCTTGCTTCATGTCAGTCTTTGTTATGTGCACACTTCAAAGTTTTAGGAATCACTGAAAACAGAAATGTACTGTGTTTTAGTGCTGGATTTTGCTCACACATTCTATACAGCTGCTTGACATTTATTTTCACATACGGTTTGTTTTTTCACGTCATTGAAGCAACACTTGTGTTCACACTATAATAAACTATGTTGATTTGATTTCACTGTAAAATCAGGAAAATCTTTGATCTTGCACAACGATAAAGAAAGTTAGAACAAACCTTCAAAACACATTAGTTTGTCATTTTTCTTCCACTTGCAAGTGGTTTGGTAAACTGTTAAACTGATACATTTCCAACTGACTAAAAAACAACTGCAGCGGCTCTCTGCCTTACAGGTTGGTTTTAAAGTCAAACTCACAATTCAAACCAGGATGTAATCATGCCTTGGTCTGCAGCCCTGCACAGTTCCTGTGGTTCTTCATCTGACTCACAGGCTACTTGGTTGACACTAGGGCTTGGCAAAGAGTCAGCAGCTTCACACTGTGTGTGTTGCTTCTGGTGTCCAGTGGCAACCTTTTAAGTCAAATCCCTGTTTCTATGAAAGGCAGCAGAAAAAAAATCTTTCCCAACCCCTTTGTCAGTTTGATTTGACTTTCTGTAATGGACCTTCTGACCCCTAGTTAAATTAGCAAGTTGGGCAGCTGGGAGGTTCATAATTTCTTCAAATGTGCTGATACAAGCTTTTCTGAATACGCCTTAATTTAAAAATATAACTATAAACATTGTAAGAGGAAATGCACCTTAATTCTGTTTATCCAGCTTTTTATTTT